AAAAAAAAAAAAAAAAAAAAAAAAAAAAAGAATCCATTCTTCCTTGGAGGAGTATAATGAGCTGTCTCATTATTTGTTCTCATTTTGGGTGCACATGTTTGGGAGGAAGTTAGTTGGTCCAGCCCTGACTGCACTTAGACAGGGATGGATGAGGAACATTTCTTTCTTTGCCTGTCATAGTCATGACAACTCCTTTTGTACTAGAACTTAGGTACAAATGAACCCAGGTAAACTTAGTGAAATCTTTCCCCAAACCATTAGTTCTGAAAGCAGTGCTGAATTAAAGAGTCATAATTTAGGATGAACCAATTTTAGGAAATAAATAATATGTGTTTATGTATAGCACAATCAGTGAGGACTAGTGTGAGGTCTTATGGTATAAAATACTTGTTACGTAGGTTCTGAATTACAGCTTGCTTTTATTTCTTCAGGGATGTGTGATTTGACTTATGGTACATTTATTGCCACATACTCTAAGTGTCTTTTAAGAAGCATAATATGCCACTTTGTGGAAAAAAGTTTTTCTGAAAGGTGTATTGGAAAATAGATATTGATAAATTTAAAAAATTGCTGCATTGAAGAAAATATTTAAGACAATCTCTAGTAAATAATGTTTACAAGTGAGGAATTCTTTTATGACATATAAAATAAATAATAATTGTAATAACAGTTAGCATTTGTTATGTGTTATGTACTAGGGACTGATCTATGTGTTTAACATGTATTAATTCATTTAGTCCTCATGATGGCTTCAAGGAGTAGTTATTATTATCTGCATTTTATAGATGAGCAAGCTTCATTTTTAATAATAATAATAATGTATAGACAAATATACAAATAAGCTTTAAAAACTATATTCTATATTATAAAATTTTACTTTACACATAAAGCTATGTTATGTATTATATTATTAAAACTGGTACATGTGCACATATGAATATATATGTGTATTCTGTCAACATCTATGAATCAGTTTTTATGTCATGCTGTTGGTGCTTAAGTGAAGTGAGTATAGAAACTTGACTTATATCCTCTCACCTCCTGACTGCATGGTGGAGAGTAGGAGGTGATAGTGGTGGGTTGACAACATATAACACATTTGAACTCTTTAAAGGGCAAAGCAAGATAAGAAATTATTATCACATAGTTCTTTTTTAATTTTTTTCATTGTTCATGTTTATGGAGTGCAGTTTGTTGTTTCAATACATGCCTATATTGCGTAATGATCTAATCAGAATACATAGCATATCTACCACCTAAACATTTAACATTTCTTTGTGGTTATAACATTCAAGATCCTTTTTTCTGGCTATCTTGAAACGTATAATACGATATTATTAGCTATTGTCACCCTAGGGCACCAGAACTTATTCTTCCCATCTAACTGTAACTTTGTAACTCTGTACCAGGCTACCAGCCTTTCCCTGGCCCCCCTCCCCACTCCCTTTCCCTGCCTCTGGGCCTCTGGTAACCACTGTTCTACTCTCTATTTCTTTCTTTTTAATTTATTTTCCTTAATTGACCCATGGTGATTGCATATATTTATGGAGTACAATATGGTGTTTGGGTACATTCATACTGTGTGCAATGAACAAGGTAATTAGCATATCCATCACCTCAAAGAGTTGTCACTTTGTGTCAGGAACGTTCAACATCATCTTGACCAGCTATTTGAAGATGTACTTTGTTGTTAATTGTAGTCTCCCTGTATCACTA